GGAAAATTAGAAGACTGAATGGGGCACTCTGTCTGCAGCCTGTCATACTCGTCCTTTGGGAGCCCTTATCTGATTTAAAAACTTGGTATATTATGTAGTTTCATACAAAGTGTTATCTTTTTTGTACCTCTCAGGACTTGAGAGTGTATTGAATTGCTGTCTTAGCTGCTTTATGTATTTATTTTTTTAAGACTGTAGAACTTCAGCTCTAGCTTTTCATTATGTGTGTTTTTCTCCCTCAATTTATTCATGTCAGGTTGGATTTGGTCTAGAGAGGCCCAGAAGGAAATAGAAAAAGAGAGAGAAGCATACCGTCAGAGAACGGCTGCTTTCCAGCGGGATCTGGAGGCCAAGTACCATGCCATGATCTCGGAAAACCGGCGTGCCGTGGCTCAGTTGTCTTTGGAACTTGAAAAGGAGCAAAACAGAACGACTAGTTATCGAGAAGCCCTGATCGCCCAGGGACGCAAGTTGATGGAAGAAAAGAAGCTTCTGGAACAGGAACGGGCTCAGGTCATGCAGGAAAAGAGACAGCTGCAGCCCTTGAGAAGTGCGTATCTGAGCTGCCTGGAAAAGGAGGAAGACTGGCAGAGGAGGGCCCAGCTCCTGCTGAAAGAGTTCGAAAGCGCTCTTTCAGAAAGACAGAGTATCTACTGCAGCCTGGTTCTCCCGCGCCGCAAGCGACTGGAAATAGAGAAGAACTTACTGGTCCGAGCAGCCACCGACCCCATTGCTGCAGACCTAGAAATGTCAGCTGGCTTGATCGACATATTTAAGCATGATACCTATTGTGGTGAGGTCTGGAACACCAACAAACGCCAAAATGGGAGACTCATGTGGCTGTATCTCAAATATTGGGAACTAATTGTGGAAATGAAAAAGTTGAAGAAAGTAGAGAAAGCCATATTAGAAGAGTAAGACAAGAATGAAATAAGACTTCTTGTAAGGACTCAAGGTCAGACTGTCTTTGTGGCATTCTGGGTTATCCAGTGTTTTCTTTCTCCCTTCTTCCTGTTACCTGTGTTACCTGTGTCGTGGCCACATGCACAGAGTGTCCCTCCAGCCTGCCACCCCCTGAGTGGGACCGCAGCCCTCAGCAGACATAGGGCTTCCTCCCTGGTCCTCTGCAGTTACTAAGGAAGCTGTTTCTCAGAAGTGTTTTTTTTTAAGCTGTTAGCATTTTATTAAGCAGAGAGTATAACCTCATATCTTAGCTCTAGAGTAAAACTGTTTTTTAAAAAAGTGAAATACAGTAGTGATCCTCACTATAAGAAATTTCCTGTCTGGTGTTATCACTATCTAAATAACTTCTGTCTTTTCCACAAATTATTTTTCTTTCTTCTAAAATCACATTAGGGAGTCATCATGTAATGGATAGAACTCCCTACTGCCAGGTGATGGATAGAACTGCCTAACAAATGACAGTTGGGAAGTAGTAATACTATCGAGGTTTTGTATTGTTTTAAACATTTCTCCCACCAAAGGGAAAAAGGGTTTCCTGTATCCACTGGATTCCCTGGTGAGTGTTTGGATTTTGGCTTGTGTCTGTATTTAGTAAACAGATATTGTTGATTACTGATGACATATAATAAAAGAAACCTGCAATTTCAAAGCTACCTGCCACTTATGTGTATAATTTTTTACACCTTACAAAATGTTTTTACATAGATTACCTCAAATTTTGCCACATATCAATAGGTAGGAAGGCTCTCGTGGCCCCGTTTTTCATAAAGCTAATATGAATCAGCCTTTACTACGCTTTATGCATGTCACTCAAGTAATCCCAACCCCAACCCCATGTCACTTTATGCATGTCACTCAAGTAATCCCAACCCCAACCCCAGCCCTATGCTGTAAGTTAATGCTTCCATCCTCTGGGGCCAGGGTCCCCGAGACCACCCGAGGTTGGGTGACTCAGCACAGAGCTGTGCTCTTAGTGAAGATTTAGTACCTGGAAAGGACACAAAAGGAAAGGCACTCGGGGTGGAGTGAGGAGATCAGGTGCAGCCCTCGCGGCCCCTCCCAGGGGACGTGGTCCCCAGCAACGAGCTGTGACAACATGTGAGACGTTGCCAACCAGGGACACTCCACAGAGGTAGCATCCAGGGTTTCTGCTGAGGGCTGGTCACGTAGGCACCCTCTGCCTGGCACGAGCCCAGCAAATTCCAAAATCCCAGAAGGAAAGCAGGTGTTCAGTCCAAACTATCTGCACATGGTTTAGGAACAGTCAGCCACTCTTACTAGTTAATGGTGGTGGGAACCCTCCCGAAACACAGGATCCCAGATGCTAGCCAAGCGCCGGCTCCCTAGGCAGACCTTTCAGAGGACACCGTCTCAGGCCTGCTGTGTGAACTCTTCTGTCCATCATTTTACAGGTGAAGGGACTGGCAGCGAGGTCAGCAGAAACTCCCTGCTCAGGGTCACCCTGGTGGTCCTGTTGGAGCCAGCACGGACCCAGGCAGTTTGGCTCCAGAGCTGCTGCTAACTTAGGTGCAAATGTGTGAGAGTAAGTGGCCTTGGCAGTGGCAGGGCTGAGATCCATCTAGTTGCAAGTCCTGTCTCCTTGCCCGCATGCTTGCTTGTCTGTGTGGCAATAAGACATACTATTGACAACATTAAGCTTATAGAAAACTTCAGTTAATGGTAGGGTATAATCATTAGAGCTACTCATTAGAGTAAGTGGGCGTACTTACTGCCCACTGAATCTTACGCACTTATGCTTACATGCTGTTTAAATCTTCAGAACCACTTCAGAGATGATAAAGCTGCTTTAGTAAGTTCCCTAAAATGGAGGCAGGTCCTTTGCCCGGCTCGCTCCGAGCTCCGGGGCTCTGCTCACGGTGGTCCCGAGCTCTCTTTAAGGGCTCAGAATGTCTTTCCACCCCATGGCCACCACTGATCTGAGCACGTGACTTCTCCCATTAAATCTGGTACACGTTCTGGTTCCTGTTACTCCACTGATTTGTCACATGTCCTTGGATAAACTACTTAATGCTTTTTCTCTTGGTTTTTGTCTTTAAAATGAGAATACACCCAGCCATTTAGTAGGTGAATGATTTTCCAGGAGAATCGTTAATCTTCACCATATTTTCTAGTGTCCAACGTGCTCTGAGCCTCACCTCCTTCAACAGCTAGATAAATATGTTCAGGTAAATCAATTTAGGTTGTAAGATGAGTAAGACAAGTTTTCTACAGAAAAAATGAATTAGGCCACATTGTGTTTGCATGGCACAGCTACCTTCTATCAGCAGACTTCAGTGTAAATTTGATACCATCTTTTATTTTGTAAAGATGTTATTTATTTACTTTTTTAGAGAGGGGGAAGGGACAGAGAAAGAGGGAAAGAAACATCAATGAGTGAGAGATACATGGTTGCCTGTCAAGCACCACCAAATGGGGACCAGGCCTGCAACCCAGGCCTGTGCCCTGACAGGGAATCGAAGCAGTGACCTCTCCAGCAGGGTGAGCACCTGCCAGGGTGATGTGAAAATGGATGTTACTAGGTTTGAAATGTTTACACAGTGTGGTGGCATTTGATCGCTTCACAGATGTACCAAAAGATTTCTGGATAAAGTGAGATTATGGTGGAACATTACTGAACTGAAATGGTTTTAAATGGGGAACAAGAACAGCTACCCAAGAGTGGTGTGAGTACATAACTGGAATGAACTGTCGGGCACAGGAGTTGTTAAGATTGGATGAATCTGCGCCCTCTCTCGGCCAGAACCGTGAACAGGAAGTGGTGCTGAACTCCAGGAGGAAAAACAATGCTTCATCCCCTACAAAGGTGGTAGGGGCTGCAAGAGTGGCATCCCCATGTTCCAGGTGGTGGTCCCCACAGTCCAGAAAGATTGTCCCCCAGTGTCTGTCACAGTAGTCCCCACAGTGTATAGGGTGATGGATGGTCCCACCGTGTCCATCACAGAGGTCCCATCATGTCTCCGTTTGATTCACCTGTCCCCTGTCCTGAGTTCCTTTTCTTCTGAAATTTATCTTTCAGTTACAGCTGACATAAAATATTTTATTAGTTTCAGAGGTACAGCACAGTGATTAGACATTTCTGAGTGCATTTTCTTATGTCCACAGTTTGCTTTTGTGTGGGGGCCACATCTGCTCCTGGACCGGGGCGAACATCGGGCATTGTTAGAGCCAACGTCACAGGCTGGGCCGGTGCAGTGAGAGTCCTCTGTGGCTGGATGTGGCACAGTCAGGGCCAGGGCTGCGCACGTGCACGGGAACACGTTGAGCGCAGGCACCAGGAATGTGCGGAGGCACAGTCCTGGTCAGGCTGCGCCGTGGACTTCACAGTGGCTCCCCTGAGCCCCCCAGCCTCTTGGGTTGTGTAAGATTGGATTGTTCCCTGGGGACTCCAGGGCACAGGGGACATTTGCCACCAGCAGACATCTGTGTGCCTGCTCCTGCCCCAAATCACAGATCCCAGCCCACCATAGCACCCCTGGGCCCTTCTGTAGCAAGGCTGCCAGACTCAGCCAAACATGTGTTGGGGTCCCACCTGGCTGGCACCCAGAGGCCCAGTCTGTCATCAAAAGAATTCCACAGACACAAAGAGTGGAAGCTACTCTGCTCTTCACAGTTAGAATCAAATCATTTAAAAATGTCGCCATGCCTACTCTCTTTGCAAGAGCTTCTTACAATGGCAAACTCCATGTGCCGGAAATAGGATTCCAGAGATGACCCACATAATAGAACCGGGTGTGCAGCGGGTCAGCAGAGAGCAGATCTGATTAGCACGCATGCTCCAGGTCCCCACTTCCCTCCCCCCTGCCCACTCAGTGGAAGGAAGGTTACTGCCTCCCTCAGCTGGCAGGCTCCCAAGAGAGCACTCTGGAGACCCAGCCCCAGGGGCCCCACTCCTTTGTGGGAGGAAGGCAGGGGACATACCTAGGGCAGGAGTATCTGGGTGGGGGCACACCTGGGGAGGAGCAGCACGGAGTTGGACCCTCATGGAGCCTTGTGGTGTAAGGAGGGTTTGGCCAGATCAAGTACCAGCTTCTGTCTTGAGAAAATGTTTTATTTTCTTTAGGGTCCTTTAAAAATTCTGAATTGCACTGAAATTAAAATCACATCTGAATAAGACACACTGATGTTTTATTTGTATTTAATCATCCTAATCACCTTTGCACCAATCAGAGCTCGGTGGAAACCAAGTCCACCTGTGTCCTCTCGTGCACCAGGACTGAGACAACCAGGCAGAGCCGCTTCCCCGGACCCCACAGAGAGCCCTGCCCCGGGCCTCCACCCGAGTCTAAGGAGGCAGAACCTGGGCCACAGGGGTGGGGTTGTTGCAGGCCCTGTGGTTTCCGTGCAGTGACAGGTGCCCTCCCAGAGCTGCGGTGGGCAGAGAAGGCCCTTTGGTTCCTTAACCTTGTGCTCTCAGGCTCGCCAGCAGCAACAGAGCCCGAGCACTGCAAACCCCTCGAAAGTGGATGGAAGCCATTAATCACTGAAGCCCCAGGTCCATGCTAGGCTGGCCTCTGTACATACCCAGACAGACATCACCTTGGAAGTGTCAGCACCGCACACAACCGAGGGGGGTGGGCCAGCGTCTGGCTCCCATGCTCTTCACTTTCACCCTTTTCCCAGTTGGTTGCTTTCTGACATCTGATCTGTGGCGTTTCCTCTAGTTTCTTCCCTCTCATGCCAGCCTGATGTCCTGCTCCCGCACCTCCTCTTTGCTGCCACTGCCAGCCTGCACCTCACACGCAACCCGGGATGCACCACGACCAGGACAGCCACTCTCCGTCCCTTGGTGCCTTCGTGCCCACCACTGTGATGGTGGCTTCTGTGACCCCAGGGCTTTTTCTGCTCCAACACACCCGCTGTGCTTTGACGCTAAAGTGACCCTCGTGTCACATCTACTGAGAGGCAGGGCTTCCTCTCCTGTAGCGCCTAGCGGATACCAAGAACAACTCTGACTAAGAAATGCTTTGGGTGACGCGGTGAGGGTGCCAAGGCTCGGCCCAGGCTGCCGGCCTGGGGCCGGAACACGACCTGCCGGCTGAAATGCCAGACCCGCTGGGGCCTGTTGAGGGGACTACTCCATTTGTTTCAGTGCCCTGGAAAAGTTTTCTAGGGCAGTTTTGAAAGCTTGCAGCAAGAAAGCTCCAAGTTCATTGCTTGTTTCTTGAATATCTGGGTCAAAACTGCCGAAGACTGGCGTGGAGACCTGGATGTCATCCCGGCCGGCCCGCAGCAGCACCCCACGCAGGTCCTCGGCGATTGTGTTGTATTTCTGCTGGTCGAACCTGGACATGGCCAGCTCGTCCTGAGGGTAGGCGGCACCCTCAGGGAAGCAGTCCTTGGGCACTGGGAACTCCACCCACCGCAGCTTGGGGAGCTCACAGAGAGCCAGGAAGAGGCGCCGCAGGGCAGAGGCGGACAGCGGGTTCCCCAGGAAGCGGAGCTCCTGGAGCTGCTGGCAGGGGCTCAGGGCCAGGATCAGCGTGCTCAGGTGGTGGTCGTCGAGGCTGCACTCCTCCAGGGTGAGGACCCTCAGGGTCTGGGCGGCCCTGCCCAGCAGCCTGAAGAAGCTCGAAGGGAAAAGGTGGACCAGGCTATGCCCGCTGAGGTCTAGCACCTCCAGGTGGGTGGCGTGGGTGCAGTCTGCCAAGAAGGCCATGTCCGCGTGGTTCAGGGAGCAGTTGGCCAGGTCCAGCGCCCTCAGCGGGGTCCTCAGGGGGCTGCAGGGCGGGGTGGAAAATAGCAGATGTGAGAGGCGGTCCCAGCGTGGAGCTCTAGGGGCAGTCTGGTGGATTCTGTCTCCAGCCAGCAGTCCACAACCGGAGGGCCAAAGCCACCAGCCACCTGATTGTGTCCCTACTGAGATCTAAAGTGGTTCTGACATTTCAAAATAGTTGGACAAGTCAAAAGAAGAATAATAGTTTGTGATATGGGAAAATTACATGAATTCAAATCCCAGTGGCCATGAATCAGGTGTCATTGGGACACAGCCTCGCTCATGCATCTCCGTACTGTCTGTGGCTGCGCTGGGGTCAAAGGGCAGAACTGCACCCTCGAGACAGTGGTGTGGCTGCATGGAGGAGAGTCAACTTTACCAAAGGCGGGTCTGGGTCTGGCCTTGTCCACAGCTCCTAAAAGGACAAATCTGTGTTGTCAGCACTTTTCAGGGTGACTGTAAGGAAGTGACCCCGGCGGTCTCTTCGGAGAATGTCTGCTCATGAGCTTGTTGTGGGGCAGTGAGGTACATGTGAACTGGCAGGAAACGAAACACCCAGGTTTCATTCAAGAGTGAAGCCACAAGGTTTCAGGGCTGGGAGGGCCTTGGAGCCATCTATTCCAGGCTTAGCATTGCTTGGGACCTAAAAGGCCCTCCCTTCGTGGTGGGGGTGGCCCGACATAAATAAACACACAGCTGGGGTGCAACCCTGCTTTGGCCCAGGGTCCTCAAAGTCAGGAACAGCATGCGTCACAGGTCCTTCGAGAGATGTGCATTCTTGGTCTACCTGCGCCCAGGTCGCTGGACCTGAGCCTGGTTTCATGGGAGGAAGTATGGCGTCTTGTTCTCTATCCCTGCCCATCTTCCTGCTGGAGCTGCCTCCCCTCGCACCTCCTGCACCTGTACTATGCATGCACTGAGTGCCTAGTGTCTACCCATGAACCTGCATGGCTGAGCACTTGCTGTCTACCCACAGTGTGCTCTCACTGTCCTTGCTTGGCTCCATGGGTGAATGTTTCTCATCCCATTTTTTTGATGCCAGGTCCACCCATGAGGAAATCCAGTCAATCCTCCCTCACGTCAAGTCCAGGTCTGAGCTCTGCTCTCCACCTGCCTTGCTCACAGGTGATCCTTCCCCAGTCCTCTTACCGGCACTTGGCAGGGCCTCCTGTGTGAACAAGGGCCAACAGAGCAGGCCTGACTACCGCCCCTGGGAGGCCTGTAGCTGGAGCTTGTATTTGGGGAGAGTTCTGCCACCCAACTGATGGGTGGTCCCTGGCCTTGGATTGTTCGCACAAACAAATGGTTCGTTCCAAGCCCCTGCTTCCTTCTGGGGTATGGGGCCCACCTACCAGTGCCCAGAAAACACCCAGGGCATGGGTGTCTAATGAACCCCTTGGTAGATGGTACCTGCACAGTGTTAAGGGATAAAGCATGTCCAGGAACTCCACTGGGAGGTGACCTGGGAGCGCCTGCCTGACCCCACCCCACCTCATCCCCCATGCTTTCTCTCTGCAGGCTGTGCCGTGTCCTTTTTCTAACAGATCACAGCTGTGAGGACGACTGTGCGCTGGGTCCTTCTAGGAATCACCAAACCTGGGTGGTCTTGGGGGCCTGACACCTCCTACAGGGGTCTCCTCGCCCCTCCGTCCAGGTGTGTTGTGTGGCCCTTGTAAATATGAACCGATGATGCCACCCTGTTGCTTAGAACTTCCGGGGCTGGAGCCCTTCAGTCTTTTTCTCCTCTCCCCACCTTCACACCGCCCTCTCCCTGCTGACCCCTGGCCCTGTCCCACCCCAACTTGGACCTTATGCACCCGGGGTTCCCTTTCCAGGTTACTGTGCAGGAGACTATTCCTCAGTCTCAAAGGTGACCTCAGGAGTGTGCCTTCCCTGACAGCCTTCTTGCCTGGATCTTCCAGGAGCCTTAGACAGGCTCTCGGCAACCAGCTCAACTAAAATACTCTATGGAGCATGAGTTCCATCCATTGGAAGGGCAGACTGTGCTGGGCAGTGGGAAGGTATTTCAGGGGCTGCATCAACAACACAGCCCTGCCAGGCTTGTGACAGGTCCTTCTGGCTGTGGAACACATTTCCCAGCACAGAGGCACCTGTGGGTAGAGGAACCAGGACAGCCAGATGCGAGACTGTCCTAAAGGTGCCAGAGAGCCAGCCACCCATCAGAGTTTTACCTGTACGTGGGTGTGGTGGCCACCCTTCTCTGTGTCAGGAGACTGTGGTCCCATGCCTCTGTCTCTCCCTCCTGCCTCTGTCTAGCAGACCTGGGGTGGAAGAGCAGGGATGGGGAGCCAGGGCGCCTGGAAGGGAGGGAGGGGGCATGGCCTCGGGCTATCCGGGCTGGCAACTTCTGGGTTCCATTTGTGTAAAAGAGAAACACCTGTAAGCCAAGGGCTCCCTAAACTAGGAAAGAAACCTTCACACTCCCTGGCTCAGGAAATGAGAAGCTCAATTTTCTATACACTTTTATAAGTATATTCAAGGCAGGTGGCCACCAAAGTGACCCGACAGCCCTCCTGGTGCTCCCACCCTTGTGTGGTGGCTGGCTCCTCACCGCCGTGATGAAGCCCAAGGGAGGACACGCTCCCAAGAGGAGGCTACGAGGACAGCCTCCCCCCTGGGCCCTCTGGCTCTAGGATGAACAGCCAGAGGCTTGTGGAGAGCCCGAGTGACACAAGGCCCAGGCCACCTGCCCACAGCCAGGTGAGTGAACCTGGAAACAGATCGCCCACTTTCCTGCCCAACCAAGCCTTTAGGAAGACCGCAGCCCAGCAACAGCCAGAGGCAACCTTGAGGTAAGCTTGTGCATTCAGCCCAGTGCTGGAGTAGTTTGTTACAACGCTAGTGATTAACGCAATATAATACAGTTACTTCCGTGTCATTGGTTTGCCAGTCAGTAGTCAGTAGTCTTTTGCTTACTGACTGGAAACAGTGCTTCCCACTCCCCCTCTAGTCTGGTCCCTCCTGCTGCTTTGATCCTCTTGTAAGTTGCAAGGTCCCGATATCTTGGTCCTTGGTACATCTTTAGCTTAGCCCCCAAGAGGGCCCCAGGTTGCCCTGACCCAGATGGGCGGCTGTGTGCAGACACTGCACCCACCCTGCAGCCTCCCTCTGGTCACCCCAGACTCACCCAAGCAGTTTCTGGATCTTGCCCGTCAATGTGGAGAAAGCCACACTCAGCTCGGTGAGCTGGGTCATCTGGCTGAGCTCCCAAGCAATGGAGGTGAAGAGGGGGTCCTCATCCTCTGTGGTTGGGGTACAGTCAGGGGGCCTGTCAAAGGCCTTGGCAGGCAAGGTGAGCGAGGCCAGCTGGGGGAAGTGCACCTGGGCCAGCAGCTGCTGCACGTGGCCGGCGTGTAGCCGCACGTTGTGCACCACCTGCAGCCTGCGCAGCTCGCCTGGCCTGGCCAGACACAGCACCTGCAGGAGCTGACTGGGGTCTAGGCTGTCTGCCCGGAAGGACAGGCAGTGCACTCGCAGTGGGGCAGGGCCGGCCGGCGCCAGGGCCTGCACCACAGCCTGGAAGTTTCCCTCAGTGACGAAGAGATCCGCCAGGACCTTTACGGAATGCCGGGCTGCATGGGGACCTGCCTGCAGCTCACAGCAGGTCCTGGCCAGCAGCTCTGTTCGGCCCCACCTGCCCAGCGCCCTCCCACAGGGGCACTGTTGCACCTGCACATCTCGGACTCCCATGAGGTCGGCCAACTGCAGCCGCTGCCGGCCCCTGCCCTGGAGCACGTGGTCCGCCAGGCCCCTCACACAGGCCTCCAGGCAGGCCCTGCAGGCCCGGTCCCGCAGGTCTTCTGGGTGGTCTGTGCTTGGCCCCAGCAGGGCGCCTAGCCGGAACTCCTCCAGCGGCCAGCCCTCCAGCAGAACTCGGATTACCTCTGCCCGCTCCAACAAGTAGCTGGCTTTGAACAGAAGTGGGTAGAGGTTGTGTGCCACACTGTCCAGGCTCTGCAGGGCCACCTGGGGGTGGGACACCAGGGCCTCAGCAGAAGCAAAGCGTAGTGACTTCATCATGCCCGTCTGCGGTGGCAAAGGCAGGACAGTGCTCTCCCCTTGTGATTCTCCCAAAGACACGGGTATGCCCTCCTCCCCTATTTTTAACTACAGCTGCTATGAGCAGCTTGCCTTTGGGAGGGAGGTGGCCAGCCAGCCCTCTGGTCATCTGATGGTTATTTTGGTCCTGGGTGCCTGTTTGGCTCTGGGCGAGGTATCTGGCAGTGGCCGGCTTGTCTTAGTGGAGCTTGGCTGGTGAAAGCAGGGCTGAGTGCTTAGCTCAGGGGGGCCCAGGCCTCGGCAAAGTGCTGCCTATGCCCACTGCAGGGGTGGCCTGTGCTTGGGAGTGGCAGTGAGCTGGTCCTGGGGAGGCCTCCTTGGGGGCAGCATGGCAGCCCCAGCCCTGGGCCTGCCCCGCAGTCATGGGAGCAGAGAACACTGTCGCCCTCCCGGGGCTGGAGTCCGCCCCTGCTGTTCGTCTGCGAGTAGGGGCTCAGTACCAAGAATGGGGGAATGCACCTCTGATAACTTTCCTGATCTCAGGAGAAAACAAATAACACCAGTCCCATGAGGTGTCGACACTGCTTCGTCCCCGCATGTGGTTCCTCGTGGGCCTGCCTGACAGCAGCTGGGAGAGGCAGGGCTCAGCACCACCCCCACCCCCGGCAGTGTCCAGCTGCCTGCAGTGTCCTCCTCTGTGACCACAGGACCCAGGAGGCGGGTGGTGCCGCCGATTGGATGGCAGGCCCTGGGACCTGCGATATCTCCCCGACAGGGTGGTCGCTCACTCTGAGGGGTGGCAGAACACGATGTTCCAAATACGCCACTTTGGCACAGGGATTGCTTTGAGCCAAAGGCACTGAGCAACAGCAGGTGTGCTGACCTCCCTGTTTCCTCTGGAAAGCTGGAGCTAAAGCTCCACGTGAAAGTCACCTCCCTGCACCAGGAGGGGTGGAGAGCTCAGGCCACATTCTGAGCAGACCGACCTCAGGAAGTACATCACCTTGCTTTACTTCCCCACGATCGCCTCTTCGCTCAACTTAGAGAAATGCTTGGGCTTCTCCACTTGGGGTCTTCATGTCCTGTGAGGGCTCCCCTGTCACTTAAACCTTTTGTTAAATAAATCAGTTTGCTTTTCTCTTGTTAACCTGTCTTTTGTTACTAAGGTAGATGGAGAAGCATTTCCTCCCTGCAGAGCCTGGGCATCCATGGCTGTTAACTGATTATTGAGTAAGTAACACCCCTAACCCCAATGTGCGCGCACGCGCGCGCGCATGCACACACACACACACACACACACACACACACACACACTCACAGTCCCCATCCTTTGGGGCAGGGCTGGAGCAGTTACTGCACAGGCCACCTGGACAAGCACCAATCTGGGGCATCACAGCTGGGGCAGGGACACAGAGAGGGATAAAGAACAAGAGGAGGGGGAGAGGCAGAGGAAGGCAGTGGGAGGAAAGGACGTGCTGAGGGTTGTGGCCCCTCCCTCAGGGTCCTGTCAAGCGGCTGTCCCCTGGAGCCTCACTGTGCCTCCGCTCCCAGGGTGGAACCACCACAGTGAGGCAGGTGAGGTGTGGGCGTGAGGCAGTGGGACTTCGCCAGGCACTACCAGAAGGTGTTCCGTGTGGATGTGGACCCCAGAGTGAGGCCCTGCTGTCCCAGCCACACCCGCTCCCCTCCTGTGAGGACAGGAGCTGGGCTCCCTGCTGACGGAGATGACATGCAGGAGATGTATAACCACGTGGTAGAAACATGTCCCATTTATTTCTGTTCCTAGAGTTTGGGACAAGTCGGCACTAAAAAAAAGTAGCAAAACAGTTTACACAGCTGGCAAATCACAGAGGCGGCCCCTGCCGCTACCGCTCCTGGTCTCGGTGGTCCCTGTGGTCGGGCAGGGGCGGGGTCGTGGGGGAAGCTCACTGCAGGTCTGGCATCCCCCCGGCTCTCCTTGCTTCTGGCTCCATCATCTGGTGAGGGTGGGCCTCTCTGGCCGTGTCCACACCTGCAGGACCTCCCAGCACTGGCTCCTCAGGGCTTCGGGCTAAACTGACGTGCCCCAGCCTCAGCCCCAGCCCGGCGCCCACCTGGGGAACAGGGCGTAGCCCTGTCTCAGGCTCACAGGTGGGGACCGTGGCCCCTCAGCCTTGCTTGAGTACTGCTCTGATGACTACATACGACTTACCGCAGATGAGAGAGAACTGAGATTCCCATTATACTTGCCCTGCGCCTGGGACGCACTTCCATGGGGACCATCACCCACGGCCCAAGTTGCCCAGGAGGTAGGGAAACCCAGTCCCAGAGGGCTCGCCCTGCTCTAAGGCCCGAGAATGCCTGGGCCTCCGCACAGATCGGGGGTCTGTGTGCTCCCACCATGGTGGGAAAGGCCTCGCCATACAGGGTGTCCATGCTGGACGGAGGTGGAGGAGCTGTACGAGGAAGGATGACAAAAGGGAGCCCTGGCCATGCCCGGGTTGGGGAGGGTGGGGAGGAATAATGGGGATGACTTCAGGCCTCAAGGGGGGTGAGACCAAGTGGCCTGAGTAGCCCGTGGCTGGGGGCCGGGTGTGTCAGGAGACTGCAGCTTCAGTGTTTCACCCCAGTCCGCACGCACAGGTCTGGGCTGAGGTTCCTCTGCACTCTCCCTGGAGGAGCCACATCTCGTCCAGATCTCAGAGCTGCCAAAAGAGTGACCCAGTTATGCACATGCCCCAGCCTCCTCCACTGGCGCCCAAGCCCCCATGTCTGTCACGGCACAGAGTCCTTGTCTGTGAGGCTCTACAGGGGTCCTCACACCCCTAAGGGCACTCTCGCCTCGTGGACACACATCCTTTCTAGGAAGCACTTGGGGCCAGGCAAGGACATGGCAGGGCACCACGAACAGGAGCCTCGGTGAGACTGAGCTCGCTCGTGGCAGGTGCAGCGCCAGTCTGTGAGCTGGCAGGTCTGGGCCCGGCGGCAGTGGCCACTGGCAGCCCTCAGCCGACACTGCGGGGCGTCTGTGGGTGAAAGGGTTTCAGCCCTGAAATGTTTCAGGTTTGCGTTTGCCGTTCTGATCCCGGAACATGAGAGAGTGTGTGTGCGTGTGTGTGTGTGTGTGTCTCACCAGCAACCACTCATGTGAACTGAAATCACTTATGATTTCACACGTGGCTTGTGGAAAACAGTCTATGTTACAGGCATGAGGGATCCATGTGTACGTGCAGATTTTGTAATTGGCTCTGAGACCTACATGTGCACTGAGGGCGATCAGCACAGGGAGGCTGTGGAAGGCGGTGGGGATGGTGGGAGTAGGTGTCAGGGAGGCCCCATTTTCAGGAGAGGACCCCAGGTCTCCTTGAGCCGCTCTTGATAGGGGTGCTCTGGAGGGTGCCCTAGAGGCAGGGGTGGGTGGAGGTGGTCTCCCCTGCCTTGGCCTGGCCTCTGGGGAGTGACTAACTGCTCCAAGGGCTGAGGGGCCTGGCCCTCCTGTCAGAGAAAGACCTGAGCTCTTGGAAATGGCTGGACGCTGGCCTCGGATATGCCGGTTACATGCGGGTTTAGGCAGGGAACCCCCCAGGGAGGTTAGTCAGGGAGATGGGGGAGCAGTGGAGCCGCCCTGCCTGGCCAATGTACCCCTCCTGCAGTGCTAATGTCAGGCTGTGCCATCGAGACTTGGAAGCATCTGCAACAGGCAGAGACACAGCCAGGCAGCCTGGGTGGCGGCAGTGGCCGCAGTGCCTTAGGGTTTATGGTGGATGAGGGAAACCCCGGTACCCTGCGGAGGCTGAGAAAGCCAGTTACTTGTGGCGTGGTTTGCCCGTCACTCAAACTGCTGCCCAGAAGCCTAAGACATGCCGGGTTTTGTTCTGACACAAGGAAGAGGGGGGGTCACTCTAGAATCAGCGTCACTGGTCACCCCGAGCAATCCAGGGCATGGGAACGAAACACCTGCTCCCTGGCTCTCAGCCCCGCACGCCCTTCGCATCGGACCTTCCCTTCCGAGGCTGCCGGGGGTGGGCTGCGGTGTCTCCCAAGAACTGCGGATGTGCTGGCGAGTGGCGCTTACAACCCGGGGTGGGCGGAGGCAGCTGCACCCACAGGCCTGGCCACGTCCTGAGGAAAAAGACCCCTTTGTTCCCTGTCTGACGGGCCCCTCTCCGAGGTCACTTCAGTCCCTCCCTTCAGGGACGATGACTCTGAGTGCACATCCAGGGCGCTGTCTGGGGCCTCCTCCTGAAACAGGCTGGGCCCCAGACACCCTTCGAGGGTAAAAATCCACATTTGCATCAGTTCGGGGAAACCCTGGTTTGCCAGGTCTGTGGTCCCATCAGAGGGCAGAACTGGGGGTCCTGTGAACACCCCGGGCGGGGGGGCTGGACTCCAGGCAGAGCCACTGACCCCTCGGCCCTATGTCCTCTGACTCCAGCTTGCCTCTCACCGGGCTGTTTGGAAACGGACTCTGCTGGCCACCAGCTGTCCTTCACCCAGGACTGTGTGCGCCTTGCGTGGGGGCAGAGCTGGGCTTGAAACCAGTGAACACCAGATGGTGCAGAGCAGGCCTCCTTGTGGCCAGCAAAATGTAGGCAGCGAGAAGGCCCTCAGTCTCCCCTGCTAAGTGACTTGGAACTGCCCAGGGACGGGGCCAGGCCTTCGGTTTCAAGCCAGCCTGCCAGGCGCGCAGTGCTGGGGTGGGGGGTGGTCTGTGTGGCAGCCCGGCCTCACTTGGGTGGGTGCTCACTACCCGCTAAGCACCTGGCCTCTCGCGTGGGGTCTCAGAAGAGGGGGCACTCACGGTTGTGGTGGATTGGCCTCCGTCGAGCTGGGGCTGTGGGTCCCTCCAGAGAAGGGTAGGAGAGGTTCCCTGGGGGCCATCGTCAGAGAGCAGTGCTGAGGGGAGGGGCTGTGAGAGCCGGGGTTGGCCAGGGCTGCTGTCCCCCAACACGCACTGGGAAGACTCGGAGCGCTCCGTCCCTGAGAAGAGGAGCCGAGTTAGGGCTGGCCCACCAGGAGGAGCAGGCTGCCCCATCCACCTTCCACAGTCAGGGGGCCCGGATCCTGCCAATCAAGGGCT